AACGCACCCTTGAAGTCAAGGAATACCAGGATTGTTGGTCGTCTGTACATGTGGCGTTGCTCTAACACCTGACGGAGTGTGAAGATGTGGTCAACGCAGCCTCTACCCGGTCGAAATCCCGCTTGATTCTCACGAGTCAAGACTGCGTGCCGCCATGAGAAGACGAAGAATCAATGACGCCAGAAGCCTTGTCACAACAGGTGTTAAGCTAACACCTCTGTGGTTGCTACGTTCACTGCGAGCACCCTTTTTGAAAATGGGCACTACTATCGTTTCACCCCAGTTGTCTGGGACGGTCTCCTTCTCCCAGATAGACCCAAATAGGCTAGACAGGCACTGGCTGAGGAATGCACCGCCGTCCTTGAAAGAGAACAAGTTGGAATCGTCCAGGTCCATACTCAACTAAGCCACTTTTAAGACGTCAGTAGTATGCGACGGACGAGAAGTCTCGGACGTGAATTTCACTCATTAGAAGCGATCACTTCCAATGAGGATCAAACTATTCAAACAGAACCATCCAATAAAGAATAAAGCTGACTAACCAAACATTTTTTCGATGTCTAACTGCCATGCCACCCGAAGGAAGCACGTGGGCTGGGATAGTGCTAGGTTGCCCAAGCCTAGACAGAATAACTCGACAGGCAAAGGTCGGGTTCGAACCACAGACCTTCCAGTCAGTAAATGCACGCCCTAACCACTAAGCTATCTCGTACCCTAACCTAACAAAGATCGGATTGAAACTTCTTGAAGCTTGTCACTATTCGAAGCAGGTAGAAAATTACGCTGTCGAATGTATAAAGTAGTTCGGTTTTCAGTGTGTTCTGTGATGATCAATCGTTTATTCTGGCCCATTGAATTCAGTGGCTAAAAAAAAACCCAAAATCGGTGTAAACTAGATAAAGGAGATCAAGATCCACAATTCTACGGTTACAGGCAGATCAGTGTTGAGCTCCTCGTCGCAGTGTAGTGAAAGTGTTCAGATGGAGTTCCTCGGTCCCACTGCTATTCGTTGGACTTTTCGATTCGGACGTTGGCAAGGATTCGGTTTGGGGTACAGTGAAACATTTGTGCACCACCTGCTGGCTGGTGCAAACAGGTGCGTTTTCTGTCGTTGTACGGTTGAAATCTGCCTAAATTAACCGATCTTGGAGAGGCGAGTGAAGCTCGACCTACTCGCGACACACCTCAGGAAGCACTCAAAAATGAGACGGGATTTTACGGGTGATTTTGTGAAGCTCTGTGAGGTTTTGGTGCTAAGCTATACTGGCTTTAGTAAGCAACATCACCTGCATTAAAATGAATTTGGAAAGGAACAGTTACTCAGATCACTGAGTAACTTTGTCCTAGGTGAACAAACGGAACTTGTGATTCGGACAAGTACTTTGAGTGTGATGCGCAATACACATAGCTTGACTAAAATGAACTATCGGGGCCTCAATTTTTGTGCAATCCTCGAATAGTCTGAAACGCCGATTTGAATCTTACAGATTATCAACCAGAAGTTTGAAATTCCCCCTTTCTGTGACTGCTTTTCTTCGGAGTGCTTGATACACTTCATTTCACCAGAATCTTACACAAGTGGTTCTTGGTTGTTGGTCTGTTCGCCGAGCTTGGCAGTTGGGTTGCAAACGTTTCATCACCAATCGAGGTGACATCGTCAGTGCAGTGCAGTGACATACAGGGAACTAGATCTAGGCACTCTCACTTAAGTTTTCATGGTCACTCTTACATAGTGCTACCTTTCAAATGCGTGATTTCATTCCTCGTTGCCATCACCTTATGAACTGTGAACCGGAGCCGCTTGGTACCGTTCTCTATCGAATGGCCAGTTGATTCATTTCGAAAGGTTAGCCCTGAAACAGTGCACACATCTTAGCGACTATAGGTCCTCGCAACCATTCGTTTATGTGAGGGTTAACCAAAGCGAGAATACTGTTGATTTCTTCAGTCACTGTGACTGTTTCAAGTAGAACATAAGGTTGATGGAAACCCGGGGACTGCGCCTACCTGATGAGCCCCAAGCGGGAGGGCGAAACCGGTAGTGGGCTGCCGACGGATTTTCATCAACCTTATGAGTAGTACATTACAAAGATATACATGTATCGTGATATCTCGAATATCGTAGCGACTGAAACATGAGGCGGCCTGGTGCAGCACATTCAGTTGCCTGGAAACATCACAAACGAGAGATTCAGCTGGGTTTCAGGTGAGTCTCTCGAAAAACCAAATTAGTTTGCAAATGAGTGTATGTTCGCTAATTTCGTACAATTTCGTTTCAAGTGGAACATAAGGTTGACGGAAACTCGGGGACTATGCCTACTTGACGGGCTCCAAGAAGGGTGAAACCGGTCGTGGGCTGTTGACGGATTTTTAGCAACCTTATGAGTAGTACATTACAAAGATATTCACTGTGATTAATGTTCTCGGGCCCGATTAGGCTTCGGTCTGTTTGATTGCCTCCCAGACTCTCTGATACACACGCCTGCAAACGACTGTCTGCGTTTACAAACAGTGCGCTAAAACCAAAGCTTGGTGCGTCAGTTCTGGTATGTACGCCTACGTGGATATCCTTCTACGATCAACAGGGAAACATGCCTAGTTATGACAATCGAACAGCATCAGGCTCTATGTTCGACCCGAAGACAAAATTTATCGCTAACATGTAGCATTCCGCCAGCGTGTCAGAAACCGGTTTGTCTACACGTGTTAGGGCTGAACAGTTATCAACACACTATTGATTTTTGGGAGAAGTTTATGGCAGTTCATTGTCTGGTTCAGCGGAATATCCCTAATTCTTGGACGAATTCTAGCGAATAACCAACGAGGAGGCAAGAATCTTCCTAAACGCAGATGTCGATTATTGTTTTTCTAAATTTCTTTATTACAGTGCTTTACATGCAGACCTCTCAGAACATAGCCACCTTCGGTTGCCGTTCTTCCCTCTCTGACAGGCATACCTCCCGGTTTTTGCATCCACCTGAGCGGCCATTTGAAACAGTACTGTGACTGGACAACTGCAATCAATGACAACGTGATCTCAAGAATTCGAACCCCTCAGAATGTGACTGGATTTCAGAGAGGCGAATCTCATTCGAGACAAGACTGATTGTAGCATCCAGCAACCAGGACCCTAGATGACAGTAGACCGACAGAGAAATTCGCGACACCACACCAACCCATATTGTGGCCATCGCTTTGCCGTAGCCATCCAAGTTTAGTCGCATGTGTGTAGATATGCCCGGCTATTTCGGTATTCCACTGTCTCATACGCACGCGTGCTATTTGGCACGATTAACTGACGCACGCCGCCTACATGCATACCACGTCGCATTATGGAAACAAGTGCGTTATGCATGTCATCCTTGATGGGACAGCAAAAGTCCGGCAGACACGTACGCACACACACACACACGAATCTCTCAAAGTTGCTGCGCGCCCCACACCTCGACAGTCAGATGTCACAACAACAAAACCGACTAAACACATGCGCACACCGCCCAAATGCGGAACGAACGACATAGGCTGACTAGGACCCTTTCGGTCCCGTCAAATCGCAGAGTCTAGCAAAGACAGAATGCGTCCGACAACAGGACTGGACCAGGGATAATCGATCGATTGATCACGTACGGTGGAATGCGTTGCCCAACTAGTTAACAAAGGCACCAACTGATAGTGGTTTGTCGGGGAGATTGAAAAAAAAACACGAAACACGACGGGATAATGACGCTTTGTTAAAGAGTGACCGACCAGCTGGCATCAAGCTGAGTCACACAAACACACGAAAAAAAGACATTGAGGACCCGAGTGTCGAGGAGATGAAGGCAGTCAGAAAAGCTTACTCACCGGTTCTAACTTCTATTGTTGACATACGGTTTGAAAAACGAACTGCACTCACTTGGACCAAACCTCGGTTAACTCGTGTCACGGACCGGCCACATAAACGGGCCAGCGACGCGTGGTCGACTATCGAAAGATACTTTTTTCATTGGTTGTTTAGATAGGGACATTGAGAGAGTCATGAACGCGCTAGCTGGTCACCACGAATCATAGCTGTTGGAACTGATGCAGGCTGTGAAGAGTTGTGTCCAACCAGTGCTTCAAAGGCAATCCACAGGAACAGGCTTACAGCAAATGCCTTCTGGTAGTAAGCCACATACCCTAAATCCTGTAGTAAATGGACCTTCAGGTCTTTCTCAAGAGTAGTGCACTATTATGGATGGGGGCCAAGAGAGTACGGACGGCAGTCAGTGCATCAAACCGGGAGGATATGGAACTCAACGTTGTTAAAAGGTATACGGTTGGCTTCTGATCATTTGGAGCGAGATGGCTCAGTGGTTAGAGCGCGAATTTACTGACCGCAAGGTCCATGGTTCAACTCCGTGAATCTCGACTCGAATTCCCCTGTCTAGGCTTGGGCAACCTGGCAGTATCTCAGCCCTCATGCTTCCTTCGCGTTTAGACAATCAATCCCGAGGATGGGGGGGAATTTGGGGAAACTAAGAACGAATGAGTAGACCTAGATTCAAGATACATTGGGGATTACAGCAAAGCCGCAGGTAGTCGACAACAACCGGGCGATCGTAACTGAATAAGAAGCTAATTTCACCCGGTACACGGAGAAAAATTGCGAGTATGCAGACATATCTCGGAACTTACACTCTTCACTATAGATCGGTTTCGTAAAACCCGAAGCGAACTCGGTAAACTCAGCATCCACGCCGGTCGCCTCCTCGCCGTAGGCAGTGATCAAACCTAGAAAACAAGAAGCAAATAAAAATATTTAAACGGTGATGAAGCAGGACGGTTGACAAACGATAGATAGATGGACTTTCAGTAAGAGGGAAAGGTGACTACCAGGAAAGTCAGATTCCTGAAAATAATCCCAGGATGCCCGAAACCTACTGAGACACTCAAACCCCACCGAAACCGTATTAGGGAAGTTCTCATGCATCCTGATTAGGAGAGGCAGCTGCCGATTGGATGCTGAAGCAGCCAATCAATTTAGCCACTAGTGACGATGATGAGTGCTCAAGTATGTCCTAGAAGCAGCGATCTAGGAGGATGAGCGTTCACCCAACGCCGATGGGGTAGCCTAGATTCAAGGTCAAAAGTGTGTTTTACATACGTTCCTTGTAATTTTTTCACTTGCTTGTTCGCAGTAAGTCTGTTGTATCCCTTGTTGGTGAGTCTTTTTCCGACACCAAGGAGCTGGTGCGGGAGACATCAGTTACTTAAAACAGTTACCAAGGCCAAACTCACTCCAGTTAAGCCCAGAAAATGGACACGACACATGTCTCTAATTCTGAACGATAATTTCTGTAATGACGAGTGACAGCCGGCCTGTTGAACAACGAGGACCGAGGATAGCAACGTCGTTGAAAAGATGTAGAACCGCCAAAATGGTTTGGTTTATTGGAGTTGAATCGGAGGTTCCCACTTGGTTCGAGCAGATATACTCCTTAATGGAATGCCGCGCGCACAATGAAGAGGTTTACTGGTGGATTATCAATTTAAATAACCCATGGCATGATCACAACTATTACAATAGCCCTTCCCTCAACCGCAATTGGAAATCTGAATTGGCTTTCGATAGCTAGAGTACAAAGATTCATCAAAACACTTCAATAGCGAGTGAAGATGATAAAGCTGAAGGGGAAAACGAAGCCAAGCGAGAAAATCCATTAAGTACCGGTTCCACCGTCGCTATATAAGAATATATATAGCGAGATAGCCAGTGGTTAGGGCGCGAATTTAATGACCGGAAGGTCCATGTTCGAACCCTTCCCCTGTCTAGGCTTGGGCAACTTGGCAGTATCCCAGCCCTCGTGCAACCTTCGGGTGGCATGGCAGTTAGGCACCGAAAGGGTGCTACAGCTGAACGATATGAGAATATATCATCATGAGAAATTACCTTGTCTGTTAGTTGTGTCCCAGTCTACCTAGATGAGCAAAACACTAGTTCGTAATGATCTAATTGATGGGGAGAGACAGATATGCAGGAATAATCAATAGCTGCATGATCCAACCCAAAAACGAAATCAAGAAACTTGTCCAACGCTCACGAATGATGTTCAAACGACTTGGATACAAACGAGATGCTGTCAACTCGATGCACATGGTTTTTTGGCTGTCATGAGGGATCGCCGCTGTAGTAGACGCACAGTAGAGTGGAGTAAGTTGAGGACAGCCTCCGGGAACACCCTTGAGGGAGTAATACTATACAGAGATGAGTTCCTATTCAGTTTTATTATCTTCTGTTTGTACCACGGTATCAAAAAGGTCAGACCTGTCAGTGAATAAAAGTTATCACAAATCTTTAAACAAATCGCCACCGGTGACAAACGGGCGTATAGTATTCACTTCTAGACTGTTCTATCCCAAGGACTGTTGCTCCTCTGGGACAACAGATGACCACTGAACCTGGCAGCAGATTAGGGTTAGTCACGTTGTGTAGCGAACCATTTTGTTATGAAGATTACCGTTTATGTTATGACGCTTAATCAAGCTTCACAGAACTATCGAGATATGAGTACAAGATGGCGTCGTATTTTGGGATCCTTGAATAAATGCTTGTCGTCGAGAAAAAAGCTCTACCCGTCATTGTATGGTGACTGAGAAACGCTATACTTCGAGGGAACTCCACCTTCCTGACACTACGAATCGCGGATCAAGAGCTTGATCCCGAGGAGGTGAGAGAGAGAGTAAATCAACCATATACTTGGTAGCATGCTCCATTTCACTGTACCAAACAGGTATTGTCAACAAGTAAGTTAAAGTTGTATGCAGGAAGCAAACAAACAAACAGAACCTACAATAGATCCACTATCATTAGTCTCCCTTGCGTAGAAACACTTCGGAGCTATTGGGAACTTTTTTCCTTTGTACATACAGAAGGCTAAATAGAGGTAAGCAAACCACAAAGATAAAACTACTCACAAGGAAGCTGAAAACTCTTCGACAGCCCACACCGGTTTCGGCCCTTCTTGGGGCTCATCAAATAGGCGCAGTCCCCGAGTTTCCGTCATCCTTATGTTCTACTTGAACCCAAACTGGACTGTTTTCGAGAAACACACCCATTTGCAAATCAATTTGGTTCTCACAAGAGACTCAACTAGATCTCTCGTCTATGATATTCTACACATATACATATACTGAGATATCTCGAATATCGTACCAACTAAAACATGAAGCGGCCTGTTTGCAGTATATTCAGTTCTAGAATATCATATAAACGAGAGATTCAGTTGAGTCTCTCGTGAAAACCAAACTGATTGATTTGCAAATGAGTGTATTTCTCGAAAACCACAAGGATATTTGTGAGTTACTTCTATTTGGTGAGGGGATTATTTTTACAAAAATAACAAAGAGCTGACAGTTTTTCTTTCGGAATTCTCAATGTGTCCAGCCAATTGGAGTGCTGCCACAGTGTCCCGAGGTCGACGAAGTTGATAGGGTTCTCAAAAATCGATCACGGGTAGTACTGAAAAACTCGAAACTCCATATAAAAGGGAGTAAAAAACACGGGCTAGTACCGATTAGAGTTATTTTAAGATATCGAAGGAATATCTCTCGTAAGAAATAGAGTAAACGCTCCATAAAAGTCAGAAGAAACAATGGAGAGGGACAAAATAAGCAGAAAACTTGAATCACCACTTGAACACTTTGTGGTAAGAGGAATCTACACGCGTCAGACTATGGATGAAGACTGTTTGACGTCCACTCTGTTGGAAACATACAGATCAGACGTCGGTGAAAAGCAACATTCCTGATTCACATACGGGCAAGGATAACCAGCTTGGTTATCCAACGGCCCAACGACGTAGTAGAAATCGATCGGCTTTCCCCTGTAGACTTCTACGTATGCTTGCATTTATCCTCAAATTCTGTCACCCAGGTCAATTCTGGCGAGCGATATTTTCAGAGGTGGACGCACACACTGAAAATTGGGCAACCAATATGCCCGATGCACGTGTGAAAAATTCAGACAAACTATTTTCCCCAGTCTCAAATCTGGCGCAATGGGATATGAGTGTTTGCCGAAATGTATCCCATGAAGACAGCAAGCGTCGGACATGGTTAAACTGTTAACAGTCAGGAGATCCGGAGAACACGGAACGTTGATGTGGAATACCAAAGTAGACACACATGCAAGCGACCTTCTTAGGACTTGCTGATCAAATACATCAGGAAACGCAAACACAGTTGCTCAGATTGATGTGATGTAAGTTACATGCCGTCTGGAAAATTTTTTATGACGCTTGTTTTCAGCGTCCTCCTGATTATGAATAGAACAACGTAAAAGCGATCTGCTGTTGAACTTACGATACACAAAGCCTAACAAGGAGTTTTGAAAAAAATCGTTGCTCCTAGCATACTTCAACTCAGCCACTAGGACAGACAGCAACAATGGATCCATTACTATGCAAGAGTATAAAGTTTATTTCCAAAAATTCTACGGAATCAAGTGCTATCACACATAGTAGACTCTAGACAGTCTGTGCTCAATAACATCCAGTCAAACTAGATGAACTGATTAAACATCAGCTATCATAAATCTCCTGATAAGCCAAGAGAGGTTCGTCATGATTCCAGGAAAGGGAAACATCTTTACGTTCAACCGTGTCAATCATACTGTTCTACTGAGTAGGGCGGTACTCAGGAATACACCCCTTTGCCACTATAAGTGTCTCAAGTTGGCAAACGCTACCCAAGTCTTAGAGATTCGAACATTGGCCTAATCCCTCATACTACAATCAGAATTATTACATCCTTCAAGATACGTAAAGCGCTCCACAACTTCGAGGGCCTCTCCCTGGATTGTAAGTAAAGTTTAGTAACTGGATGCCCTGGAGCATGACCTTAAACTTTGTAGGTGCAGTGCGCATGCCAAAGGAAGATATGTCTTCGAGCAGTTTATCCAAAATCACTGCACCTTCGCTCCGAAAACAATAACGATGTCGTCTGCGTACTCCAGATCAACAAGTCTGCCATGAGTACCTATTCGAATGCCAGGGTTTCGAAGATCCTCCAGGGTTCGTCTCATTATCTCATCGATCAAGAAATTAAATGAGAATGGAAAGAGTGAACACACCTCTTTGTGCACACAGAGATCTTCATACACTCTCACACGGCCGGAATTCTGTAAATACAATGAGCCTATTATGTTTCCAACCTTCCGAGGCATTCTTTGAGAAGGTCTTATCCGTTCAGCTGTGGCACCCTTTCGGTGCCTAACTGCCATGCCACCAGCAGGAAGCACGAGCGCTTGGACACTGACAAAGTGCCCAAGCCTAGACAGGGGGATTTACTGACCGTCCGATCAGTTAATTCTTGCTCCAATCACTGGGGCCATCCCCCCAGAAGGTCTTATTACAGAGAAAGAATAAGTAGGTTGGAAGAAGACCGAGTGCGAGCCTGTAGCATCCATTCCGGAGTACCGAAAGATACAGGCATTGATTCAGAGACGGGGTAGAAAGTGACAGTAAGAACGCCACTGAAATCAACCGGTAGCTTTCATGCCGATGGATGAGCACATGGACTTCATCCTCGAATACCAGCCGCACCAACTCTACCTAAACTTTTCGTAATCCCTTTCATATCCCAACCAAAGGTTCACGCCACTTTCGATTTGGAACGGAAAATGACAGTCTGGTTGGCAAACAATGATTCGGCGTGTGCATTACATGACCTAACCATCGCGGGCTATGTTGCTGGACACATAAGTTGACTGAAGTCTCTGCTTCAGAGCCGGACACTCATTTCCTAATTATCTCGTTGTCGCCCATACCAGCCTATACGAGCTATGGTTTTGGAACAACAGGTGAAGAGCTAAAGGCGTATTAGCCCAGCAGTGCGCAGAAGCCACGCAACAGGTGAAGAGCTAAAGGCGTATTAGCCGAGCAGTGCGCAGAGGCCACGTCTCACAGTCATACAACAAAACAGCCCATACTGTAGCCACATACTTTTTGCGTCGAGCCTAATGTGGCACTGTACTCAAGCCACCGGGAGGAGCAAGATCAGCAAAGCTCTACTCCAAGCCATCAGCCGGCTTAAAAATGACGGGATAACGATGGGCATCTGCAGCGGTCATTTGGTTCTCATTAATGAGCCTGTGTCATCTCTTGAGGTTCAGCGAAAGACCGTGCCCTTTCCAGTATAGCACCACGCGAGCATTAGAGGGGCACGCACTAACACTTCGTTGAAGTGGTAATGGATAAACCGGTGGACCCAGCAATTCGTTTCCCTTGGATTAAGGACCTGGTCCAGGTCCAACGAACTACTACAACAAAACCGCAAAATAGAAATAATAGATGACATGGAAGATGTCTTCTGTTTGGTTTTAAAAATTCAGCACTTAAAGGGACTCTGTTTTGTTCCAAAGATGGTCTTCGGGGGGCAGTCCTTATGCTGCCTAATGAACTTGCTAGCATTACTTCAGACGAATAGCTTGTACGTAATGCAGGGCCTAAGTTCGATGGTGATAATTTAACGCTGCAAACAGCATTTGCTCGAGTAATAGATGTGCACCTCTTGATTTAGCTGAATGTCCATGGTCCGAGGTCACGAAACGAGATATATGTTTCTGTCACTCTAAGGTTCAACAAAGAGCCTTCAGATTGGTCTAAAAGATGCCACGAAACTAAGTTCACCTAAAGGTTACAGTACTGTCAGCAATTAATGAAATTACTTCCTCAAGGTACTTTACCAAACCTGTGTGTATCAGCTGATGCATCCTCGAATCCTCCTCAAGTTCCTCATGAAAGCACGTATGAACCTCTTAGAAGCGTCTATCATTGGAAAATCCTGATCAATAGTACTCCGTTATACAGTCCCATTTCAGACTGTCTATTGACTAGCCTCTGCTTCTAAGTTCAACACGGAGTGGCTGTTCTACTAAGTCGGATTTCTAACAAGGCCAAGATCTCAACAGTCTAGTCTATGTTTATCTAGTTTCCAACAAGGACCGTATATATCGCCAGGAAAGTCAACCCTCCTGATATTAAATTGAGTTCGGCCTCAGAGAGATCACAGTTGATTAATGTTTACATCGGTCAGCAAGAAAAACTGTGTATGGTATACCACAGGCCAAATTTAACGGCGTTCCACAGCGCGAAGAATAAACATGAATACGAACGTGGCAGATCTCTCAAAAAGAGTTCATTTGCCCGTCACGTAAAACTAAGGATGTTGTCAAACTAATCAAACAAGGTACTCTTCCCCAGGAGACCATTCCGACCGGCTCTCACTGGTGATAGTCATTAGTAGGGATCACAATGTTCATCGTAACCGTTCGATTCACCCATGAAGCACGGTGCTAATTCCAAACCACACTATTAGGAAAAAACTAGTCTGAGCTTGACCACTTGTAAAACTAGTCACGACTAATTCAAACAAGCCCATTGATTCGGTGGCGAAGAAGACACACAAGGACCTTATACTGTTCAGTTTATGAATTCAAGCATAATGCTCGATGACACTTTACGAAACGTGTAAACTAATGCCGAGAAAAATACCGGAAATGAAAGACAAAAACTGAAACATAGAAATGAAGACCTGGAAAACAAAAGTTCCAAGATAAAAACAGCTTGGATTGCCAATAAATGAACACGATGAAAGCCACGCCGAAATTCGCGATCTGTGAGAACAGGGATATTGTGTTCCACGATCAATCCGAACACTTGCCTGTGGCGTTTTACGTGAAGGAAACACCCAGGAGAACCAGTTGTGAAATAAGGTAAGAAAGACAGACTCCACGCTATACCACCCATGAGAGCTATCCAATGAAGTAGTAGAATGAAGAGTTCGGTCGTTTTCAATGAAATTTCTCACTCTATAGGTGAAAGAAATAATACTCGCTCCAACAGGAGAAGATACTGTTTATATTCACCTATCACTGAGAAAGCGGTTAATGATACAAAAAGATGTGAGCAAAAAAGCGTTTGAGTGGCCAAACTCATATAGCTGGTCACACGCCTGTCTGAGCAGTCCGTTTTGTACCAAGATGAAGAGTTCGCTAGTTCAATACATCAGTCAACACTTAAAATGTGATAGTGTTCCCGTCCTGGATGACAGAAGCATAAATGCACTGAAACCAAACAGAGTATTAGAAATTGCTTGTACTCCATCTAACTAGGCCATCATGGTAATGGCATAGAGGAATTATTTTTCGGATTTCAAAGCCCAAAACAACAGTGGAGCGTAAGCGTTTTTAATGAGCCAGCAAAAGTACGTATCTAAGAGGAAAACAATGACTGTTTCACACTATCGCCAGTAATTCTCGGAACAAACATGAGGTGCCGCCCGAGGTTGATTGCGGTGCTGGCGTGGCACGTAAGATGTGGCTCAACTTATCAGAGGCACTCTACTACGGGAACTAAATTACGTTGCGGTATGACTGTTGTGGACGTGCTGGGTGGGCTCAGCGGTCGAACTAAAAGTGTCTAAAAACCAGATAAATGAAACTCATCGGTTCACTGAACCCATTAACGATACGATGAGTGATACGCACGTGGTTGTCACGTTTCGAAAACGCAGTGTTGAATGCATCCTGGATGTCTGAGAAAATTGCGGCATGACTGTTGTGGACGTGCTGGGTGGGCTCAGCGGTCGAACTAAAAGTGTCTAAAAACCAGATAAATGAAACTCATCGGTTCACTGAACCCATTAACGATATGATGAGTGATATGCACGTGGTTGCCACGTTTCGAAAACGCAGTGTTGGATGCATCGTGGATGTCTGAGAAAATGTCATGGTTGTAGATGGTAACTTCAAATTATCAAGAACTGATGAGGTATGAAGAATCGCCAAAAATTCAAGGGAATTCAGTTGCTTGCTACAAGTCAGGACGTATAGATACCTTGGAAGCTAGTTCGGCTCGGTGTATTGCCCCTCATTTTTCCACACTGTGCACCGAATATGAAGAAAAGGTAGAAGAAGCAACAACGAGAACCATGGCGGAGAAAAACAATCACATCGTAAAGAGATCAAATTTTAACTTGTCGCAGAAATCTTCCTCGTTTACTTGCAAACGGGAAGGTTTCGTTCCGGACCACATTAAGAAGTATATTAGACAGAAGAATATTGAACACTGGGCAAACAAAAGGACACAGAACTGATTTGGGTGGTTGGATTAATTGATCGTCTCACATGATCACTACTTCAAATCACAAACATTAGATAAGTTGGTAACTCTTCCTGTTTGCCTGTTTAGTCTAAGGCATCCGTCATAACTTTGTAGGTCAGAGAACTGCTGGACAAATGAGCGAAACGTTAGAAGGAGCAGATGTGTGGAAGATTCCACTCGAAGCAACTTGAAGCAAATATACCAGATTGTGTTGGCTACGGTTGAAGCCACAGATAACACAAAAAAGGGGAAGATGAAAGATGCGTCTATCGTCTGGTGGTTCTGGAAAAGATTTTTGGTAAATTTACTCTTCATTACTCACACTGAGTATAGAGACGGTAACAAAAGTGCTAATATCAAAAACAACGTATAGGAGGCGGAAAGGTCATCTGTAACACCCTCGGTGTAACGACAGGGATTATGCTTTCCAGACGATGCCCGGGCGTTGTGCCTTAAGGCTTCATCTTTGAGGAGATGCCCTTCATTTTTGACTACATTGGACTTGGGCCAAGACTGTTACCTGTGAACGCTGGTGAAACGAGTTATGAATTTAAATCGCACGACAGTCGCTTTTCGCGCTAGCAATAAAAAACGCTATAACCTTGGAACTCGTGTTGCCCATGTAGGTACGTTGCCCTTAAGTAAATTGGTGATTTAAGAGGAATAGAAGTGGATACGTTGAACCATTACATTGCGTCCTACTCTGAAAAATACCCACCTGAAAGAGGAGTTTTACTTAAAACGTCACCCAGAAGCAACTTCTACAAATTGCTTCATTAGACCTAATCGCGTAACTGACCACAGACCCTCCAAAAATGCGCTTGAATCCGAAATATATCGATAACCACGGATATGTGCTAACAAGGTCAAACAGTTTCCGCGACGGCCGCGAATTAGTAACAAATCTTTTGGCCCGAGGTTGCCGTCGTAAACCAAATCTGTGTAGCTCACAGGAGTTCTACTCGACAATCTCAGACCCAGAAGGGGTCCTCGCTGGTATAAGCTAGACTTCGATAGATTCCAGGCTGAATTCAACGAATCATCAAGATGTGAACATTCAGGAAGGAAATTTCCGCAAAGGAAACATGACACGGTCGTATTAATCTTACAAAAGTGGATCACATGATCACAACTCATTCGACGGTCGTAATACGTCCAAAAACTCACAGTTGAAAATCAATTTTTCGAGCTTCTCCTTCGACAAGCTATCATCTCTTCTACCGGCGACAATCAGCGTTGAACGCGCGGCCATCTTCAAAACCGCACGAGACAGAAAAACCAACTTGTCTGACCCGGGGTATACGTGACCTACAAGTGATTTTCGGTCAGTGCACTTAAACAAATTTCAGTGAGCTCGTTGGCTTTTAGATCAAAGGAAGTGGTTATGCGTTTAGCGAAATGAGCCCAACATATCTGCTTCCGGGTATCCAAAGGCTGTCTCATCCTGGATCCAGTGTGAACTAGCTGAATCTCTTTCAGGCCTCCCCAAATGATTTACTTGCTAAGTTGATATTCAACATTAACATGTTAATTCCGTCAGCGTAGAGTCGTCAAAAGCAAAGCCGTCGGAGGGCTATGAGTTCGGAAAAGTGCACCTCATTTTTATTTTGATTCTTGAAGATCCATCTTTTACCCGTGTGGGGACACTGAAACCTTATTCACATCATCAAGAGAAAAGGACCCATGTATGTTTTGCATGTTTTCTCAGGCTACATGTTTCTTACGGATGTTGAACATCTGAGGAGACTTATTCCTCAAGAAAACTTGGATTCCAAAAGATTATACAAACGTTTCTGGGACTTTTCTATTCAAATTTATCGACAGCGCCAAGAACCGACCCCCCACTATAGACGATTGACGTGAGCCCTTCCTGTCGTGGTCCGCTTGTGGAGCACCTTACTGGGTGTACGTGGTCATGTTTGTACTGCTGACCTAATTTGACAAATTGACCACCTGCTTCATGCACGAAACAAGGCTTCACAAACTTCTTAGCTAAACTGGTGGATTGTCAGTCACTCCACATACAAAGTTCGAGATCAAATGTACGCTGGCAGCTCCCTTACTCTGTGCGTTGATTTATGGCATGGTGCATATTGGGCTGAGTGGATCTGTTGTTGCAGCCCTTATATGGTGGCTGCGTATGCATGTTTCCACGAGTCTTTGGCCACCCTGAATTCAGTGTCATTTTTAAGAGTCCCAAATTACCTGGAGGGCCGCAGGATAGCAGCCAGGCCGACAGCAACGTGTTTGCCATCTGCGTATACCAAAACCAAGGGGGCGTGCAAACCAAAAACCAGGTAAATCTTCCGACAACTCAAGTCACGTTTAACGTGACCTAATTCTGGCGCTTGTATACGGCTACCTTTCCTGCTCATCATCATGTCCCTTTCTTTGAGTGAACGCCGTTTTTAATTTGCGAGGCAAAATATATCGGTTATAGGTAATCAGAAAATGAAAAATCTTGGCTGTGAACACAGGATTTATCGTTTCATATCAGTGGGTTGATAACACACCTAAGAGTTTCGTATGCCGAGAAAGTGAAATCTCTTGTTTGTGTGGTTTTCAACAGAATACGGTCCTTTGGAATTGCCTCGTAAGAATTGTGTCAAGACTCCCACTGATTGTTTTGTTGATACTTATATCTAACTAAAACTGTCAGTTTGCTGTGTTAATTCGGGGCTCCTAACGACCTACAAACACTACATAACAAGTCGCAATAATTTGTGAATGATGTCTAAAATCTTTTCCTTCATTTTGACTGTTCTGAAGGTAAAGATTACAACAAATGCAACTATTAAATGTAACTTGCTCTAATCCATCTTACGCTCTGACTTATTGTGGCTTTTATTGGTTTTCGGCCAAATTCCAAGTGCTTTTTAATTCAAGCCTTGACAGCTAATGAAGCTTGACAGTGTATGACCTACGTATCTTCGGCCTCCACTTTGACTTTTTATGAGCAATTATTGAAAATTTGTGCTGATCCCCAGACGCAGGTCGAAAATAATTTCCCCGACGTGGTTTCTACAAGTGGATGATTTTACGTGAACTCAATCTAATTCAACTGCGTTATCGATATGCGTCGCTTCTCGCTGTTTCTTTTAGTGAGTAAAACTTGAAGTTCACCAAAGGATATGGAATCATCTGTTATCAGTGTTTTGCTGAAGACGCTTAAATCTAGAAGTTAGAACTGTTTGACGGTGCTCTGTGCTTTTAAGTTCTGAGACAACAAATTCTAACGATTACTCTAACGTATATTCTACTCAGCTGAACATATCCGTTCTATTTGGACCCCCTATCGTGTGTCGTTTCCGTTGCCCGAGTATAACGTGGTGTATTGTGCGATACAAACGCCACGGCTCATCTCTATTTTCTTGTTCAATCTCAAGTGAGCCCTGATATTTAAAAGATGCTGGCGAGTTTTATGCGGAGATGCATAAGGAAAATTTCCAAAAGAAATCAGTGCTGCGGAATTTCTCAACTTGCAAGAAAATTTTGATTCATTACCTATTCTCGATACCGTAACTCAGTGGCCAACTTTGAGCCCCAATAGCGATGAGTTCTATTTTTCTCCCTTACTGCGTATCGTAACCACCGGGCTCGTACCTGCGTGCGTTGCTAATTATCAGGCCTCAACTACAAAAAGCAGTGTATTACAGCGACCAATAATCACCGCTCAGCTTCATAGCCGTATGCACTTCTGCCCGGATATACTGAATTCTGGACATTTGTGAACCACTGTTGACAGAATAATTATTTTTATACTGATGTACCGAAACGGATACAATCGGCAATTTTTGTGTACCCCGCTCTCCACGGACCACTATCAATCTATGATGACATAAAAACCATCGGTGGTAAAAAGTTTTCTCCCGTAAAATCTAACTCCCTAAGCGCTCTATCAATAGCCTCAAAGGTTAGTAAGATGTCTTCAGTTTATTCGGTGCTGTGACAGTGGGTAAATTCATATGGAGGGAAACTTACTTGACTCGTATTTTCAGCGCATTCCGCCCTAAGGTAGCCCTGCGGTGAGTTCATTGCTGCAAGTTAGCTTCTTGATCTTGACGCCGAAACACTGTGGCTTTGCGGCAGTGAAGCTAAACCTGGAAATTTTGCAGCTCTTTGGCTTTTCTGGCATGACCAAGCGTTGCAAAATGTACTAAAAACAAATAAAGTCTGTGATAATTACAGCATTTATTTTTAGCCAGTGTGTGGCATACCGCCAGACATGATCAGGGTGCTTCAGTTAAAATAATAACATGACTGAGGACACTTGTGGGCACTCAGGGTCGTGCCGAAGTGGGCAGTTACACAATTGATGAACATCAATCATGCAGATGCGGTCCTTTCTAAATCAGACGGAACTAAATGTGGTGAACATCGAGGGCAAAGAACCACAGGTATTAGAAATATATCTATACTTTGTGGAAAATTTCACGCCGAAGGGCAACTCTCTGGGAATAAACAAAAATCATTTCGCCGGAACTATAGGATTTTAAAATTTGCGAAGTTCACGGAGAACTAGTCCAATCTGATTGCGCGTTTCGGTATGCTCATAGCGTTTTGTTTGATTGAGCGTATTTTAGACGTCGCCCATCACCGCCGATACGTTTTTTTGTTACTATCTTAAAATATAAAACACGAAATCAAGCTATATTGTATTTTGGCGTCTTGCGGTTCGCTTTGAATGTGGGGTGACTCCTGTAGAATATCTAATGTAAATTCCATCTGGGTAAATAGGTGAATAGCCTTTTTATGCCTCATATTCTCCAGACGTATCAAATAAGATGTGTTTGTTCGAGAAACTTCGGCAAAACGGAGCTTCTCTGGAGACTCACATTTCAGCTGGTGTGTTAATGGAAGGCAACAAGTTGCTAGTGTTATCCATGCATATGTTCCTCGTTCCCAGATATGCACCACTAGTCAGTGGATAATGCGACGCCTTGAGATATTTGGATCTGATATCTGCATCAACACAACGATATCCTTCTTATTGGAAATATTCACGCCCTAAGCTCTAATACGCCAAAGCGCCTAACCACAGTAACGGAATATGAGATAAACTAGTGCCAGTCATTACGATGACTGCAGACACTGTCGCGCATCTAACTTAACTATCGCATTTACCAGGTTCTTGCTTATGCGCTTCTGGTTATGAGACCTTAGACCCCTAGCGCTATTGCAGAAGAGGACGCTCCGTCATCACAAGGGTATGCTTTCTCGCATAATTCGGATGCTTGTGGAAAATGCCAGGGCCGTGTCTATTTGCGACACCGATTAGGAGGCCTTAATTATCAATGTTGGCCCAATCCACTGGTCAATGATTTTCCTACATCAGCATAACCGTGTGCGTTGTCGCTCCGCCATACCCACGCTCGAAGATAATAAAACCAACATCATTTAAATATTCTTATTTACTGAATGACACATCCATAATGTGCGGTTACTCCTGCTGTTTTTAAGTGAACCACTTTCACTTAACGACGGGTCCATAATACGATGTGTGTATTCAGGTTGTTCTCGTTTGAATCTTCGATAAAATTAATCTAAAATTAATCTAACTGTTGTAAAGACAAACTTTCTTCCTGCTGCCCTATCATCAATGATTCATGTGTTTTCGTGCGCCTCAGCAAATTTGAGGCAGAAAAATGTACACAAGGCAGTCGTAGAATCAGTTGGTGCTTACTTGATTTAAAGAATTGGAGGGCCTGATAAGTCTTCAACGATATATTCATGGATGAAAGCGCAGAAGAGATCTAGTGGGTGAAAGCATTTGCTGTCACCTCCGCTCGTTTGGAGCACATAACTCAACTTTGCTGCACTTTCCACACTTTTATTCATAGATTAATGAAAACCACAACAAACAACAATATGGAACTCTCATAGTCATCCTCAGTAGCACTATGGTCAACTAAGTAATCTGTTCTGGTGCACTGCTACTCAGCCCCGATGCTTGCGTTTGCAAACAACTCTTTTGTAATCTTCAGAATATAACTATAGCCAATAAGTCTCCACATCCCAGACCTGTATAACGTGCTCAAAGCTGTTTGTTCCTTCAGCACAGGCTGTTTTTCAAATATTCTGCATTGGTTTAGACCTAATCTTACTCAACGTTTATGCCAAAATATTGCAGCTAATTTTTACTTCCACGATCTTTTCTAAACCACCAGAATACATAAACGACTAAGTCAGCCACTGCTTATAAAATCTGTCCCCCATTGCGATGATGACCTGACTGGGAACTGCGAAATTTACTCAATCACGTTGTCCAGGGCGTAAATATCCTTCGACCCATAGCCAGCTTATATGTATCACCGCAA